ATGCTTCGCCGTCGTCCAATTTGCCTTCACTGCCCAGGGCCTTGCCAGCCATCCAACCCGTTGTCTGTCGAGTAGGCCTTCCCACTCTGCATTCGTAAAACGCGCTGTGCTGGTCCAAGTCTTCCTCGCCATCGCGCTTCTCCGACGCTCGTGCTCTTTGCCCCTCCAGCTTCTTGCTCGGCTGCTCAGGGTCCCCCAGGTTGCCTGTGGGCTCTAGCATCATCCATGTGAGTTCCACTGGTGCACCCCATGGGGGGAAGGCTCGCCTTTTTGCCGCTTTCCTGCAGTACTTGAGCATGCCTCTCTTGTCCCGCTCCACTTGTGCTCTCAACTCCATATCCAGTGGAAGCGGCATTGTCTCTGCAGTCATCTCGTCATGCTCCTTCTCATATTCTTCCTGGTCCATCGGCTCGGCTGCCAACCCCCCTTTGGTGGGGGTGTTTGCCCGGCTCAGTAAGCCACTCCTCCGTGGTCCACCAAGTCTGCGCTGAGAAATATTATTCTTCGTCCTTTTCCATTTCTCTGATTTTCCGCCTTGATCCTGTGCATCTCGCTGAAATTGTTGTTTTCGCGTGCTCTTCATATTTCCTCTGCTAGCTTTTTTTCCTTGCCTTTTCCAGCTCCGTCCTATGTTTACCTAGCGCATTTTGTATATGCGCCAGCTCCTGCTTGATCTCCTCCACTCTCTCCTGCGTATCAGAGTCTACCATGTCCACTCTTAGCTTCACCCTTTCAGCCAGCAGGGGATGCCGTAGTAATTGGACTGCGGCCGCCGCCTTGTCTTCCTGCTTCTTCCCGATCGGGGGCACCTCTTTCATGGCGTTCCTGCCCGCCGCGCTCCACCTTCCCCGCATCTGATCTGCTGTAGGGCGCTCCTGCAGCTCACTCCAAGCTTCGTCGGCTGCGAGCTCCGCAGGAGCTGCACTCCGAGAACGCCTCGCTAATGCTTCTCCTGGGGGGGGGGGGCGGCAGGGCCCTCTGGTGATGCACTCCGAGAAAGCCTCGCGAATGCTTCACCCGGAGGCTCAGCCTGGGTCGCGCTCCGAGAGAGAGCCTCGCCAATGCTCCTCCTGGCTGCGGTGGCGGGGCGGCCCGCAGGTGGCGGTCAAACGCGTGCAAAAGTTCTGCTCCCAGTCGGCTTTTCCCCAAGCGCTCCATCGGCACGTTGCGGTCCACCTCTGTGTCTGCTCTTCGCTGCCTGTGCCTGCCCGAAACATGAAATGGGTGCTCCCGCACGATGTCCAGGCCCAGTGGGATATGGTCTCCGTGCCCTCTCGCTTTGATCTTCTGCAGTTTCTTTGCCACTCCTCTCAATGCTGCGCACCTCTGCGCATGGGGTAATGCCCCCGTCGGTATTGCAATGTGGTCTATCTTGCTCGACATCATCTTCTCGTGTTTTTTATTCACACAGTAGTAGGTAGGCCCACAATCAATGAAAGTCCTGACCACCGACAGTCGGCTGTGAATGCAAAGTTCCCTGATTGCTATGCCCTTGTCGTTCTCCACTTCTTTAGCCACTGGTCCCAATGCTGCTGCATGTTTGGTCGAACTGTGCCCGCTGACCACCAGATCCCTGCTATCTGACCTGTGCATTCCCAACTGGCTGTTGGTATCCCCTCCCACAATGATGGTAGATCTGACACCTGTGTCGTCGCATTTCTCTTCGACCCACTTCATATTCTCTTGACAGTATTCCATTGTTCGCGTACCCTTTGTCTGGCGGTAAATCGACTGCAGCAGTTGACGTCGTGCGCTCTTGTCCTCAATATGATGCCTGCCGTTCTACCTTGCAGTTGGGCAGGAGGCGAGTACTGTGTGTGGAAGGCCCTGCCTGTCATCATCTCGTTGGAAAACAGGAGCGTCGTACCACATGTCTTGTTGATCCATTTTACTTTTTTTGCCCCGAACTGCAATGCTGTATGGTATGTGTGGTTCTTCTTCTTCATCGGCTCTGGCCCAGCCCACTGCTGAGTCCCTGTCAGTACAATCACATCCCACTCTCGTAGTGGACTGCTTATCTCTTCCAAACTGTCCGTGGTATTCGCCGCAAGAGGATTGTGCAACTCCAGCTTCATCAGTGCCCATGACAAGAGCTTTGCAATCGCCATCCATCTGCCGTGCCCCCGTATGTCCCTCTCTGGCCCGTGCGATTGCGGGGCGGTCGTTGCGAGAGAGTTTCGGTTACTCCTTTCTCCGTCGGTTCTCAAAGTGCCTGAGCCTCCAACGCCGACTAGGAGGAGGAGGAGGAGGAGGAGGAGGAGGAGGAGGAGGAGGAGGAATAGGAGGAGGAGGCCCGTTGGAAACTAAACACGCGTCAGCGATGTTGGAATGAACCTTCCCGCCAAGTTCCCTTTTCATCATGCCCTACAAGAATTGTGGCTCATTGCGGGAAGCGGCTGGGCATTGCCGGTCGTCTCAAAATTCCATTCCTGGGACTTCAACGCCGCGGGCCCACGTGTGTGTGTTGCGTCCTGGCAGGCCGAGCTCGTGCCGGAGCGCCAATCTTGGGACTTCGAAGCCGCGATTCGATGTGATGTGTTGCGCGGTGACAGCGTAAATCGTGCCAGAGCGCAGCTATTGGGATTCCAGCCGCGCGAAGTGCGGAAACGGTTGTAGCCTCTCAGGACGAATATGCGCGCTTTCCTAAGGCGAGGGCCACATTTTGAAAACCACCCGCCCCCCACCCGTGAGCCCGTTGCGAACATTAGGACGGATGCGCGCCTTCCTAAGGCAAGAGCCACATGTTGAAAACCACCCGCCCTTCACCCGTGACGCTGTTGTTTTTTTCTCAAGACGAACGTGAGCGGTGCTGAGGCGAGAGCCGCATTTTGAAAACACCCGCCGTCCATCCGTGAAGCTGCTGCACACTTTAAAAGGCGAATGCGCGCAGCGCTAAGGCGAGGGCCACATCTGGAAAACGACCAGCTGTCCATCCGCGAACTTGGTGCAGACTTTCGAAGCGAAGGCGCCAAGGCGAGAGACCCGCCGCCCATCCGTGAAACTGTTGCATATTTCAAGTTTCAGGACCATGAGCCGTGAGGGGGTCACGGGCGAAAAGCCCGGCCGGCCCTACTAGCACGCCTGGGGGTGCGAGAGGGAGGAGTTACGTGGAAGGATCTGCTGGCCTGCGGCCCATCCCGCCGCCGCGCCTGAGTTGTGGGTCGGAGCCTCTTTGGGTCTCTTGGGGGCTTCGTGGGGGCCTCTTGGCACCTCGTGGGAAGCACTCCGGGCCGAGGGTTCGAAATGTCCGTTCGGGTCCCCCGTGTGGGCCCCTCTTGGGGTTGCCTTTGGGCCCTCTTGGGTCGTCCTGGGCGCCTCTCGGGCCGTCGTGGGGCCCTCTTGGGCCCTCTTGGGGCCCTCTCGGGCGCTTCTGGGGCCGTCTTGGGCGATCGTGAGGGCCTCCTGGGCCGTCTTGGAGCGTCGGGAAGCCAAAAAGACGAGAACGCCAAAACCTTTTACAAAACCCAGGGGAAATCAATGATGTTTGCCTCTAAGGGCCCTCTTGGGACGCATCTTGGAACACTCTTGGGGCGTCTCTGGGGCCTCTTGGGCCGAGTTGAGGCCATCATGGGCGCATTGGGGCACTTTTGGGCCTTCTCGGAAGCATCTTCGGTTCTCTTGGGCGCTCTTTGCGCGCGACACGCCCAGGGAATCCTGGGGAATCCCGGGAAAACCCGGGGAATCCCGGGGAATCCTTGGAAATCCCAGAAAATCCTTGTGAAACTGGTGGCCAGGGCCCTCGAAACTTTTTGACACCCTACAGCTCTGAACTTCTTCTCAGGGCTGCATGATGCAGGGGGCACTCCACTACGTGCTGCATGCGGCGGAGGAGGAGGAGGAGGAGGAGGAGGAGGAGGAGGAGGAGGAGGAGGAGGAGGAGGAGGAGGGAGGAGGGAGGAGGAGGAGGAGGGAGGAGGAGGAGGAGGAGGAGGAGGAGGAGGAGGAGGAGGAGGAGGAGGAGGAGGTGGAGGAAGAGAAGGAGAAGGAGGCTCTAGGAAGAGGAGAAGGAGGAGGAGGAGGAGGAGGAGGGACTGGGTGCGCCGCCCCCGCATGCGTGACCCCGCCTCGGCAGTGTCCCGAGCCGCAGGTCGGGGCAGGGGAAGGGGGGGGGGCACACGGCAAGGCACCCGATGCTTTCGGCGGCGACGAGAAGGGCGAATAGAATAGCCCAGGGGCGGGCATCACACGCATTAGCCCAGGAGCCTCGCCGAAGCCACGGATCATCGGCGCCCTTGGATACATGCATTGTTCCCCCCTGGGCTCTTCGCCCCTATATGCCGTCGCCTCCGATGCCTGCCGGATGAGGACGTGCCCCGACTTTCGTGTTCTGGGAGCTCTTGTTCACGGCAGCGGGCTGCAGGTAGGCCAGAGGCGAAGGCGGGGCGCCACCCAGAGACTGGGGGCTCGCTCCCGCCTCCGCCGCCCCTCGGAGCGCAGAAAGAAAAGGCCGCGCGTGCTGCGCCTCGTCCTCTCGGTGCTGTTTCCCTCCCTGCTCCTCGGCGACCTCCTTTGTCTCGGGATCCCGCAGAGGGTGAGTGTGCCACGGTGCGTGTGTGAGAGAGAGAGAGAAAGAGTTCGATCGGTTTCTGCACCGAGCCACCCCAAGACAAGTGCCCCCCAGCCGCCAGCAGCTCCCGATAGTTGCCGATGGGTGGGGCGTGCGGGGTGCATCTGTTTGCGGCAGTTCGGTGCACCAGCGGATCGAACTCATCCCTCCCTTCAGGGTCCCCCCCCTTCCTCGTTTCTTTCGGCCTCTGCCCGCTCGCCTGTGCTCCTCCTCAGCGTCGTCCTCACCATGGCACACGTCGTGACCACTCTTCGACCACATGTGGCGATCGAGTTCACGAGGCCGCGCTCCTCCGAGCCGAGCTGCTAGGAAGCGCGCGCGCGCCTGGTCAACAAGAACTCGATTCCCCCCCTCCGCGCAGGCCTGGGCCCGGCCCGCGAGCGCCCCCTTTCAAAGGCAGCGAGAAGAGGGGCGGCAGGGGAGAGGGCAGGGAATGGCGGGCGAGAGGAGAGAGACCAGCAGGGGGCGAAGGCAGAGCGACAGGCGGGAGCGGGGCGGGGAGCGCGAGGGGGGGGGGGGCAGCAGCAGACAGCTGCAGCACGCCGCAGCTTGGCGCGCCGCTGCCCCGCCCAACGGCGCTGGCGCGGCCGCGATGTGCGCCGCCGCGGTGCCGCGGCCGGGCCCCCGGCGAACGCCCTCGCCCGCCTCGTCGCGCCGCGCCCCGGGGGCGGGCGCCCCCGCCGCCGCAGAGCCCGCGGCGGGCGACGGCCGGCCGGGGCGGTGGGCCGCCCGGGCCCGCGCGCGGCGCGCCCACGACGCCCCCGGCGCCGCGGCTGCGCAGCCGGCGCACGGGCTGCCCGCGGCGCTTCGACAGGCGGCACGGAGCGGCAGCCCGGCGGCGCGGCGCCGCGCGGTCTCGCCGGGCGGCGCGGGGTGCGCCCCGGCCGCGCAGAGCGGCAGCGCCCTGGGAGCGGCGCCCGCCACCGCGCGGTCCGCGCCCGTGACGGCGCGGCCGCAGAGCCGCGGCTCCGGCAGGCCCGGGTCGCGGGGCGGCTTGAAGGCCCCGGGTGGAAGGACCAGAAGCCCAGACCACCTCCCGTCATGAGAAAGCCCAGAGTCCTCCGGCGCCGCTCCTGGCGCGCTCCGCGCGCCAGGGAAGAGGATACCAGCGCAGATCCCAGAGATCCGCGCGGAGCGCCACAAGTTTATGTTCATGCTGCTTTTTTTCCAACGGGGGAGGGGGGGAGGGGGGTGGGCGAGGCCGGGGTCGCGAGGCGAGTCCGGCTTGGGAGGAGGGGATGGGAGAGGGGGTGGTCAAGAAAAAGGGGCTTGACTCACTCCAGCCAGCATTTCCGACTCTTGGGGGGTAGCATCCGAGGCACGGCATTGGCACATATCAAAATTCCATTGGCACTGGCTCTGGCGGGTTCGTCGCCGATGTACACTTCGCATGCTCGGCGACTAAAGTAAAAGCAGTGCCGACTCTTTCGCGCAGGCCCTTGCGGCGCTGTGCTAAGGACAAGAGCCGCGGCATACAGCACGTTGTCGCTTTGCACTGGATGTGTTTTGGGGCACGTTTTACCTGGCGCGCGCACTTCAGAATCACGCGTCATTACTTCAGAATCACGGTATGTAAATCAATGGAAAAAGGGCCATACGTGGAGTTATCGACAGTCTTTGAGTTTTCGGGGGGGTCCGTGGAGCGGCGCGCTACGGGGGTCCAACTAATGATACCCTTATTCCCTACGTGGTTCCAACCGTAGAATCCGAGCACAGTATCTGACTACCACCACCAAGATCGAGAGTCATATACGATGAGATTTGGTGCAGTTTTGCTCTGGTGAGAAGCCCGCAGCCCCCCCCCCGCCGCCACTGGCAACCGGGCTGCCCCCTCTCCCTTAAGGACCGAAACAGAATTCATCAAAGCACGCGCGGTGGTGGTGTATATAATTTTGGTTACCAAGGGGAGCGATTTTTATACACCACCACCACCAAGAAGTGCTATTTCTGTTTCAGGAACTCCCCATGCCACGGCGCCTGCGAGCTGCGCCGCGCTCCTTTTCGCCGTGGCGTCGCAGCGTCGTCTGGCATGACCCTGCCCTTAGCCCTTTTTGCGGGAAATTACTGTTGCAGGCGGTGGTGGTGTATCCACATCGGCCTCGCATAGAAGTGTTGCCTTGGGGGCCCAGCCCGAACTCAAACGATTCATCGCCCCCCCCCCTGATTCTGCCAAATGTGGCTCGTTCCTATTTTCTAACCCCCTGGGAGTTCAGCGGAGCATCGCGCTGCGTGCATCCAACTGAGACCTCGTTTCCTCCAGTGGTCCTGAGCACATTGGTGTCCTCTCCTGAGCCCCTGGGGGGTCGTTCGGAGCGGCGCGCTACACGCGTTCAGATGCTGCGCCCGGTGGAGAGTTCAGCGAAGCGGCGCGCCTCGGGCAACCAGGTAAGGCCTCGTCTCTTCTATCGGAAAAGCTGGAGACACGGTCTGGCTCCCGGGGGAGTCTAGCAGAGTCGGTGCGCTACGAACATTCAAACGAGAGCTGGCCCGCCCAGGTGCTGCTGAACGCGAGCATGCATCAGGCCTCTCAGCCCTTGGGTGGTCTATCTAGCGGATCGCCACCTCTCGGGGTGGTCCCGTTTGACGACCTGTAGCCACACAAGTGCGGGGTGCCACAGGCACTCACGTGAGATCAAGCCTCCCTGGGTGACCCCAAACGTACGACGCAGAAGTGTCGTCACTTTCTGAGTCCCCAGCTAGTCCAGCAGAACTGCGTCCTACCGGCCCGACTCACATGCAACTTCTCCTCACTCGGTGCCGCTCGCCGTTTTCTGAGGGGTGGCTTGGGGGGACAGGTTGTCAGATATGCGTGCTCCAAATGTGCGCTCTCGCAGAGACGCTCTGGCCGACGTGCTATGTTTTGTCTTTAGCCAGGAACTTGTTTGACGCATGTGTACCCAGTTGCTTACGGATGGTCCACATGTGAGTCCAGCCATGTGCTTCCAGCTTCTGGCGCATCGTCCACAGTATTCTGCCAGTGGTTTTCTGGGGGACCCCAACTGACATGCGTGGGCGGTCTCATCCATGCAGGGACGTCGTAACCATTATCCAGTTGCCTGGGCTGATCGTGCTGGGTGGCGATGCGTTGCGGTGAAGAAACAACTCATTGTCCAGCTGCCTGCGGCACATCCAGCCACCGTGTCAGCGCAGCAGCGCAGCGTGAATGATGTTGAGTAGCGGACCCACAGTAATCCAGCGCGCTATCAGAATTCGTGTGGGTCTTGAACCCTACATCGCTCCCTCGACGCTTGGGGGCCTCTTGGGGGCCTCTTGGAGCCCTCTTGAGGGCCTCGTTGGCAGTCAGGGCTCTGTTGGCCCGTCTGACGCCTCTGGGGGCTTCCGGGAGGCCTCTCTCGGCCGTCTTGTGGCGCCTTTTGGGGTCGTCTTTGAAGTCTCTTGTCCCGTGTTGGGGCCCTCTTGGAGCTGTCTTGTATGCTTCTGGAGCCGTCTCGGGCGGTCGGAAGGTCGAAAAGGCGGGAGCGCCCAAATCAGTCAAACGCCAACGGACTATCATTGAGTTCGACTTCTTTTCTCAAGCCGCGGGAGCGCGCGCTCGAGGCGTCAGATTCGACTTCTTCGCCCTCAAGATCCCCTTGGAGCCCTCTTGGGCTCTCTTGGGCATCCTTGGCCGTCCTGGGGCCCTCGTGGCCCGTCCTAGAGGCCTCTAAGGCTGTCTGGTCTTTGGCATCCTTGGCCGTCCTGGGGCCCTCTTGGCCCGTCCAAGAGGCCTCGAAGGCTGTCTTCGGTTTTCGGAAGCCCGACTAGGCGGGAGCGCGAGCATCATTGAAGCACGAATGTAATATCATTGAGTTTGGCTTGTCTAGCCTTCCCCGAGACCCTCTTGAAGCTGTCTTGGGCTGTAGCGGGGGCCTCTCGGGCAGTCTTGGGGCTATTTGGGATTCTATCCCAGACATCTTGGATTAGCTTGGAGGCATTTGAGGCCTGTTTTGATTCTCTTAGTCGCCCTCGAGTTTTCTGGAGGCCAACAAGGGCGAAGGGCAACACATCTAGATGGCGCGACTTACTAAGCATACGTGCGGCGAGGGGTGGGTGTGGGGGGGTTGAGCGTTAGCACTAAAGAAGCATTACCAGACAATCTAACAGTATCCTAACAAGCCCCATCGTGGCGCTGGCACGGTGGCTGACTTTTTTCTGGAGCAAATGTTTGTCAGCGTGGACCCCACCCAGTGATCTCTTGCAATTTGGGTGTGTGTGTGTGTGCTATGCGGTGCACGGTGCGGTGGAAGCTATGCGTGCTGCAAGTCGTGTGCTGCAAGCTATGTCGTGTACGCAAGGTGGTGCGAGTTATGCGTGACACGAGCTGCGTGGTGTGAGCCACAAGGCGTCAGCTGTGCGGCAAAAAAGCTGTGTGGTGCAGGGCAGCGGGGTGTAAGCCACGAGGCGTAGGCCAAGCGATCGAGGCTATGCGGCGCAAGCGATGCAGCGCAAAAGCGTCGCCGCGAGGCGCCCCCGAGGCGCCCACGACCGCCCACCGGGCGGCCGACCTCGACGGACCCACGGCCCGCGCACGGGGCGTCCTCCGAGGCGCCCGCGGCCGCCCAACCGGGCGGCCGACCTCGGCAGACCCAGCCGGCGCAGGGGGCGCCCCTCTGAGGCGCCCACGGGCGCCCGTCGAGCGACACCCCGGCAGACCCAGCCGATGCCTCGATCGTGATATTCGAATCGTGGACCGACTACAGAATTGATGTACCCCGAAATGGATTTCTTCATCGAGGGTACTAGACTTATGTGGAATGCTCAGTGGATCTACGGAGCATCCTACGATTTCCTCGCAGATTCCACGGGAAATCAATCCAGGGGTAAAAATCAATTCTGTAGTCGATCTCCTACTCGAGATATGAGTAGGAGCCTCTGGGGCGCCGTGGGGCTGGTGGAGGGCGAGGTGGAGGGACTGGCTCGGGCGCCGGAGCAGGCTCAGGCGCGCCCAGCACCGGGGGCGCCAGCGGCAGGGCGCGACGGGTGCTCGAGGCCGGCTTCGGGCAGGCGCGTTCGGCTGCCGCACTCGGGATGGAGCTACCGGGACCAGGCGCTCACCACCGTGGCGGGGCTGTGGGATCTGCTAAGGTCGAGCTGGAGCCACAGGATCCTCGACATGGCGATACTTTTCGCCGATCTCAAGGACACGGGCGTCGACGCCGCGCTCAGGGAGGCGGTTCCGATGCGCATCGGCGGAGCCGAGGGTGCCGAGGACCTGTCACCTGGAGAGGCGGGGGGGGGCGGGAACCACTGGTCTCGGGGAGCTCTCGTCGGCTCTCAATTCAGTTTCGACTCTAGGGTCTTGGGAGTGACGCCCGGCTATGTGCCACCGATCGTGGCCCAGGATGGGCCCAGCCAGGATTGGTGCAGGTGAACAGTAGGTGCCCCCCTGATGGCTAGGGGGAGCCAGAGATTCAACGTTACGTGTTTCTCGTGACTTGGTGCCCCACGGAGCCGTCGACCCCATCCAGAGGGCCGTTTTTCATCTTACATCCATAATTGTTTTTGTCAACGATCCTTGGGCCTCACAGGGGTCACTAAAGGCACATATTAGCTAAACACCGTTCGCTGTTTCTTCTTGTGACGAGGGAGGTACGCGGGTGCATTCGCTTATCACGGAGCCATCCCCCCCAGGTGGCGCATCTGAGCGCCTGGCTTCTAGACAACCCCGAGCTCGAGGAGGAGCTCGTCCGCGAGAGGCTCCGGCCAGTGAGGGACGCTTGCCGCCAGGTGGGCCAGCTGGGGCTCGAAATAGAGGAGGATGAGGAGGAGAAGGAGGAGGCGGAGGAGGAGGTAGATAGAGCGGCATTGGGGGGCAAGCAGTGCGTTCGGCCGCAAGGATAAGCCCCCGCCGTCGCCGCTCAGAGCGGCACCTTCATTGTGATCTCGGCGCCACGCACGCCAATCACCTTGCCGAACGAGGCGTAGTCGTATCGGCCATCCATATTCTCATACTCGTAGTCATAGCCCTGCCCTCCACGCAGCCAGCTCGTCCTCCATGACTCCCTGAGGTTGATCCGTCTTCGCCATAGCTCCCACTTGGATCAGCGCGCTGTGGTTGCTGTCCTTGGTGTTGCACTGCTGCTTCTGCTCCTGTTGCGGAACCTCCTCGGCCTCGGCGACGGTCCTGGGCCCCTGCACGAGATACAGTGTGAACTTCGCGTGGTAGCTGTCATCGCACTTGCTGAGCTTCAGGTGCTTCGCTTTGTAGAGGTCTGTCTCCACACGAAACTGGTCCACTAACTTCCCGTGCTCTGTGAGACTGCTATTAATATTGTCGCCCACGTCCGCGGGGCAGGGGAACGAAGCGGGCGAGCGTCCCTTGCCCGCCGCCTTGCGCTTGTCCGCGTAGAGCTTCCTGCAGGCATGGAGCGCCTTGATCCCTTCGGACTGAGCCGACATCGGATACGTGCTGTAGACGGCGCAAACGACCCAGGCGATCTGCTGAGTGTTGGACATCACTTGCTTGATCATCTCCGTGAGCGACTTCTTCAGCTTGAGGTCGCCCTTGGCCTGGTAGGCTTCTCCTCCGCGTTGTTGGCGTGCGGGGTATTCGCGACACCGATGAAGCCAGCAGCCGCGAGCCTGAGGAGGTGGAGGTGGCCACGGCTTGGACTTGAAGCCGACGCGGTACGCGTGGTTGAGGACTGGCTCGAAGCTCTCCTGCACGAGGGGGGGGGCTCGGCGAGCTCGTCATCGTAGCCCACGCCAGTCGACTTCGGCTGCTGCTTGGTGAAGTAGGTGGGCTGGAAGGTTATCTGGAAAATCTCGGCGGGCAGTATCCAGTCTGGCACGGGGGCGCACTTCTTGAAGTACTTGAGCCGCTTGGTGACGCCGTAGATAGCTCGCTTGCTGCCGTCCATGGCGTCCTCTTGTTCCTGGCGAACTTGTAGGTTGTGCTCTGTGGTGAACTCGTGGGAGGTCTCTTTCGAGATGCGCTGCTCTTCCTCGAGGTCGAGCTGGCGAGCACTAGGCCCTCCGTGCTGGCCGTCTGCTGCAATGTGAACTACCCACTCCTGCACACTGGGGCGTGCTCTGGTCGCGCGGCTGTAGTTGCGGTTGCGCTTGCCATCCTTGGAGCTGGCCATGATGCGAGACTGTTGAAGAACTTCTGCGTGTTCTCGTCGTTGCCTAGCCTCGTAGGTGCGCTCCACTAGGTGTTGACGTCTTGCTTCGTGCTGGCGCTGCTGCTTCTTGAGGGCTCGTGAGAGGACCTCGATGTGGTACTCGATCTCGTAGTTGGGGTCGGTCCCGAAGTACTCCTCTCTGAGCGTGGTGCACGCCTGGGGTAGCCGCAGACGTTCGTCCTTGAGCTGGTGGTACAGTGCGAGCTTGGACTTCGGGCACTCGAAGACGGGCATGGCTGCCTCCTTCATGAGGAACGCGAGGAGCCCCACGAGCTCGTCCACTGTGCTGTCCCCGGCCAATTTCTTCAGCTTGTCCTGGTGCTTGCCGAAGTAGAACTCCGTCACGTCATTGAACTCCTTGTGGTACTTGCCCTTCTGCAGAGCCAGGGCCGTCTTGTCGTAGTCCCGGGCGGTCCTGTTTACGTCGATGAACACATTCGGGATGATGACGTTGGCGGCTGCATTCGGTAGTACAAGGTCGCGCGGCACGTTGTAATTGATAAGTGGGGGGGCCTTGATCATTCGCCAACAGACTCTGCAAGAAGTATTGTGGTAGCATAGACCGTGAGGCACTGCAATATAGTCGAGACTTGTGGCCTGCCCGTGGGCACTGAAGTACGTGTGCCCCGCTTTCCAGGAATTGTTCAGGCTGCACCTGCCGTGCACATCGAGCGTGTAGTGGATGGCAGCGGTTGCCGCTCCAGGTACTCTTGTAGCGCCTGGGTCGGCGATCACGTTGCTAAACTTGGCGGGAAGCAATCCGCCCTTGCCGTAGTTGTCGTTCAGGACTGGGCCGATGATCGGCGTACTCCTGGTGTGCTTCACGTTCTGAGTCTGGTTGGTCCTCTTGAGCTTCTCGTTGATCGTCTTGGCCCGAGCGTAGTGGTGCTTGGCGAGCCCTGACCGTAGAGGTGGAGACGCAACGGTGAACTGCGTGTCGAGTCCTCCTCGGCGAAGGCGAACTGCTCCTGCACGTCCTTGAATGCTCGGTGGCGGGCTGGGAAGCGCGGTCACACGATTGATGCGGTAGAGGTTGCAGATCGCGCTGGCCACTCCCGCTTGATTGTTGGTGGTAGGGCCGCTGCCGAAGCTCCTCTTGACGAAGCGGTGCAGGTAGGTCTGGTGCTGGTCGTCGGAGCTGGTGGGGGCGAGCTGCCTCCCACGAGTGGCTGGTAACATGATGACGTCGTCAGCGCTGAACTGTCTCAACATCTGCCAGCTTCTCTGCCAGCTTCTCGGCGGCGCGACCGTGCTGAGCGGGTTATACACACCCCATCTCAGGAATATCGTCCAGAAGATCGCGAGCGAGGTAAATATGGATGGCCAGCCGCGCTGGCATGACATGAAGGGTGCCCTGGGGGCGGAAGCTGCTCTGCGTGGGGTGCCTGCTGGGCCGCGAAGAAAGGGGCTAGAGCAGGAGACTGCGGCTGAGGAGGAGGAGGAAGAGGAGGAGGAGGTGTGAGGAGCGAACTATGAGGAGTGAAGGGTGAAGGGTGAGGATTGATGAGTGGGGGGTTGAGATATGAGGACCAAGAGGCGGATGCGGAGGAAGAGTAGGTGGAGGAGGAGGAGGCGGAGGAGGAGGAGGAGGAGCAGCAGCAGCAACAGCAGCAGGATGAGGCGCCCCAAAACGGTGTCGGCGGTCCGCACAGCACTGGGCGGGGCGGGGTACGCGTGCCGCCAGGTTGGCCAGTTCAGGCGCGAACTGCACAAGTGCACCTGGGGGATCGACCTCGACGCCAAGCTCAACGCACGCGTCTTCCAGAGGCTCCTGGACACAATCGCGCTGCTTACCCGCATTGACCTGGAGTACCTGGTCTCGCACGCGGCCTGGCTGAAGTGCAGGCAGTTCGAGATGACGGCCCTTCGCGGCGGAGCAAAAATGTAACTCGGCCTCTTCCTCCTTCCTCTCATACGCATGCACTCGCGGGGGTGGGAAGTTCTTGTCCCCCATCCCCTTCCACAACCCTCTCCTCCCCCTCCCAGAGGGGGAGGGTGATAGAGAGCAGGCGGAGCGGTGGAGGGTGAATTTCAATCATCACCGTGAGTTGCTGGGGAGAGGAGATGGGGAAGCTGAGGAGGAGGAGGAGGATCGGCAGAATAGGGGCCTGACGAGTAAGATGAACATGCTCATGCTGATGATGAGTATGCTGCTAGTGATGCTGTTGCTGACGATGATGCTGCTGCTGCTGATGATGCTTCTCCTGATGATGCTTATCATGCTGATGCTGCTGGCAATCGTGAAGATGCTGCTGCTGATGATTATGTTGCTGTTGCTCTTGATGCTGTTGGTGGTGATGATGCTGATGAAGATGAGGATGATGACGAGGACGCGAATGACGATGACGATGCTGATGACGATGACGGTGGTGTTGATGGTGATGGCGATGCTGGTGATGATGATGCTGCTGATGTTGATGCTGATGCTCATGATGGTGACATTGCTGATGCTGAGGCTGATGATCATGGTGCTGCTGCTGCTGATGATGCTGATGATGGTGATGATGATGCTGATGATTGTGATGATGCCGCTGATGATGATGTTGACGATGTTGCTGCTGATGATGCTGGTGGTGATGATGATAATGATCGTGCTGATGCTGCTGATGATGATGATGCTGATGCTGGTGCTGCTGCTGATGATGCTACTGCTGATGATGATGACGATGATGGTGCGCATGATGATGATGACGACGATTCGGATGTTGAAGGAGGAGGCGGCGGGAGGAGCAAGAGGCGGGATCAAAATGAGGAGGAGGAGAAGGATGATTCTGGTGATGATGATGCTGATGATGCTGATGATGCTGCTGATGATGCTGATGATGATGCTGCTGATGACGATGATGCTGCTGATGGTGATGATGATGATGCTGCTGTTGCTGCTGCTGATGATGATGCTGATGCTGATGCTGATGCTGATGCTGATGCTGATGCTGCTGATGATGATGATGATGATGATGCTGATGCTGATGCTGCTGCTGCTGCTGCTGATGATGATGATGATGATGATGATGATGATGATGATGATGATGATGATGATGATGATGATGATGATGATGATGATTCTGATGGTGATGAGGATGATGATGAAAAGAGGAGAGAGCGGGCAGCGAGCAGTGAGCAGCGAGGACGAGCAGGAGGGAGCAGTGGCCGTCCCAAGGACACCCTGGTGGCGCTGGTGATGGAGCGCTGCGCGGCCAAGGCCCGGGGACGCTGGCCAGCCACCTGCGTCGATCCTGGCCAGGCGAGGTCCCGGGCCTGGGACTGAGGTCGGGGGCGGCCAAGAGGGGGGTGATGAATAGGGCGGGGGGGGTGGAAATCATGGCGGGGGCCACGATCTCCCCAGATTTCATGGCGCCTCTTCTTAATTCAATACGTCCCGCGCCCCCCCCCGCCGGGGCCGCGCACATGCCGCGGGCCATGATTTGCGCCCCCCCCTCTTGGACGCCCCCCTCTTGGCCGCCCCCCTCTTGGCCGCCCCCCGAGACGAGTGCGCTCTCCCAGCCTCGCGGGGTGGGGGGGAGCGGCGCGTCCACCGGCCCGGGCTGGACCAGGAGCAGCGGTGATGGGGGGGGGATGGTCGGCGCCCCCTCTTCGAGGGCCAGAGGCCGGCGAAGCCGGCGATGGCCGGGCGGCCAGAGAGGCAGATGCGGGCGAAGCTGGCGGCGCCTGCAGCGGCCGACGCGCGCTGGTCGCGCCTCGTCGACGAGGGCGGTGCCGACGCTTCCGGCCAGGTGGTTCAGGACCCCCTCTCTCGGCTCTGGAGAGGAAGGTGGTAGGCGCGGAGGGGGACAGTGGGGCGGGAGGAGGGAGGAAGGAGATTGGGCATGGAACTGGAAGTAGGGAGGTAGGGAGGCGGGAGCTTGTTGTAGGTAGAAATGGGGGGTAGGAGGCAGGAGTAAGTGTGTGTGGGAGGAGGAGGAGGAGGAGGAGGAGGAGGAGGAGGAGGAGGAGGAGGAGGAGGAGGAGGAGGACGAGGGAGGAGGAGGACGAGGGAGGAGGATTTTTGGACTGCGACGCTGATGAAGCCGATGGCATGTCAGCAGAGTGCGACGCTGCAACCAGCATAATATTCCCAAATACTCAAAAATTCCGCGCGGGCACCACGTAAGCAAGTACAGTGACAAATCAGTTCGAGGTTAGGGCAGCAGTGCACAGCTGAGACAGCAAGACGGGCGAAAAGGGAGCTGCGGTTGTGACGCTGGCGAGGTGCCCCCAACCCAGGCAAATAATGTGACCGCGCTCGTAAGACGACATGTGCCCGACGGGGCTGAGTTGTCTCCGGCCCCATGGCACGGCACGCAGACGAGACGGCGGCCGGACAGCAGGCCCACTCTTCCTCCCTCCTCACGTCGTGCTGCCAGGCGGGCGCTCGCTGAAGCGCATGTGCTCCACGATGACCGATCTGCACGGAGAGGCTGTCGCGACCGGCAGGCCACGAGCGGAGGCACGGCGAGCGCCCTGCCCGCGCGAAGCCAGCTCGCGGTCGCCGGGGGTCGGCCCTGCGCGGGCCCCTCCTCCTCCTCCTCCTCCTCCGCTTCCTCCTCCTCCTCCTCCTCCTCCTCGTCGTCCTCCTCCTCCTCCTCCTCCTCCTCCTCCTCCTCCTCCTCCTCCTCCTCCTCCCCCTCCTCCTCCTCCTCCTGCTGACCTGCGTCTCTCTCCGAGGCCGGCGCCGCAGGGAGGTCGGTCGGAGAACCTCCGGCCGGTGGCCGGTGGCCGTTGCTCTTCGTTGCGCTGCGCTGCCTCTGCGCTGTTGTTTTTTTTGCTCTGAGTTGCGTACATCGCACCACACAGATGAGTGCTTAAGCTCCTACCACATCGACTGCACCAAACGTTCTTCGTGGCACCCGCATTGCGTATATGGTTCCACCGCGGCCCATGACGCGGATTGCATTGCGCGGATTGCGTCACCTGGCTTGCACCACATAGCTTACTCTGCTCAGCTGGCACCAGAGAGATTGCACTACCGAGTATACTAGGCAAGCCACTGTTTTGGGCCCACGCTGATTGACATAATTGTACACTGATGAAAATAACTATTCAGTAACACCGCCATCCACGTCCACATCTTGAGTTGCATATCATCGCACGCCGTTTTGATACCACTTCCGACCCGGGCAGCGATGAATAATTGTGCACACGTAAGCCGGCCATTTTGTTTTGGGCTCATATGGTGAGGTGATTTGGCCGGTTGGAATTCGTACCAGTTCGTCTTGGTCGTGCTGGTTGGAAGAAATACCAGCGGGTTGGGATCGGCCCCAGCTGGTTGGGATTAGTCTGAGATGCGGGTGGATGGGGGGGAGAGGAAGAGCAGGACGAGGAGGGCAGGACCCCTTCCCGGACCTGGCGTTGGTCTCGGAACCCTTTGTCCTGGCCGACTTCATCACGATGTGCCGGAGCGGGGCCCTCACGGATCCGCGCCGGAAGGAGGGCCTGAGCACGGAGGAGCCGACCCACGCAGGGTTGGGAGCATTCTTCGCTGCGCGAGTTTCTTCGTTTCGAGCCGGAGTTCGCGTGGGCTGGAGGAGCGCACGCAGGTCGCCCACGGGGATGCGAAGATGATCGCGCTTCGTGGTGTGGGTTGGAGAGGTGCCTTTTCCCATCGGATTGAGGCGGCGCGAGGGCGTGGAGATATGCGCGCTCAGCGCTTCGCGCAGCACGAAGAGCGCAGCGCGGGGTTGGGTGGCACAGGTGCGTGCACTTTCCGCACGCAGGCTCCCGAACCACGCTGGCGTTGGAGAGCTGTGCGAAAGCAGTGGTGGGAGACATCCGGCCCCGGGGGGCTATCACGCTCTGCGAGCAGACCAGAGCAGAACAGCGGGCCAGAGGCTTGGAGGCGTCGACAGCCCACATCTCCCTCCCACGAGGCCCTGCGCGGTATCCGACCGCGCGCCGCCTCATCCCTGCTCCCCCGCCCTCCTCACTCCTTTCCCCTCCTTTCCCGTCGTGCCATCTTCCCCCAATGTCCGCCACGTGCAAGGGATGAGAGCTTGCATTCCTCCACGTATATTCGATGCAAAGATAGCCCAGGTGACGAGCACGCCGAACATACATTTGTCGCTGCCGCTTGACGGCGCGGCCATTCTCCCACGCCCCCTCCTGGCCTTGAAGAGGGATAGCCAGGGTACTCCGTGTTGTATTGCAGAATAGACGGTCGATTTTTAAACATTTGTCAAGACACGCGGTGACATGGTTTGTGCCGAGAATGGTTTTTGGCACAATTTCCAAAGCGAGAGGAGGCGAGAGAAGCCAACGGTTGCTCGAAGGAGGCTCAAAGATCCAGGAATCAAACCAAGGCAAATTATTTGATGCAGCCACTGATTTTTCAATGGGCCACGACATCTTCCAAAACAAGTGCCGCACGATAGTTATACGATATACAATCCAATCAGCAGAGGGCTTTACGTGCACAAGCAAAGCTTACTAGCTGCGATCACGCACGGGATTGCGTGTCGAGCTCTCACACATAATCGCAACACGTGCCGTCGTGGAACGCTGGGCCACGGGTTACCACAAATAGTTCACTCGAGAAAGCACAAACTAAGCTGTGTGAGCAAAAGGGGACCAGACGTGTACATCGAGAAGCTGATGGCATCAATTGGAAATCATTTGCTGTCAGCTTCTGACAGTTCTTCACGCTTTGCGAACCTCCAACGTGCCCGTTCGGAAACGTCGCCCATGCGAGTGGGCGGGGAAAGGGACGGAGAGACACATATAGTGACACAGAGCGGGCAACCAGGATGAACGGAGAGATCTCTGGGAGCAAGGGCGTGGCTTTGGAGGGCCTCTTCGGGCCATTCTTGGGTTCGCGTGGGGGCGAGGGAAGGAGAAGGAGGAGGAGCAGGACGACGACGTCGACGACGACGACGGCCACAACGACGAGAAAGAGGCGCAACAGGAAAAGGAAGACGATGAGGGTAAGGATGAGGACGACGAGGAGGAGGAGGAGGAGACGAATGAGGAGGATGAGGAGGACAACGAGGACGATAACATGACCTTCAACATCGCCTCTTGGAGCCCTCTTGGGGATCTGTTTGGGGATCTTGGGGTCCTTTTGGGCTCTTTTGGGGGGTCTTGGGGCCCTCTTGGGTCCCTCTTTGAGCCCTCTTGGGGGTCCCTTCGGAGCACTGGAGGGTTTCTTGGGGCCATCTTGGATGCCATCGATCGAAGGGGGGGATCCCTGATTTGCCTTGCCCCCCTGGACCCCTCAGAATCGTCTCTTGGGGCCCTCTTGGTGTGCTCTTTGGCGCTCTTGGGGCCGTCTAAGGGGGGCCTCATGGGCACCTCTTGGGCCTCTCTTGGGCCATCTTGAGGCCTCAAAAGCGCATCGGAAGCGAAAAGGCGAGACGGCACAACATCATTGATGTTCTTTAGGTGGTTGAAGGTTGTTGGCCCCTTGGAGGGTCCTGATGGGGGCTCCGAGAGCATTTGGAACCGTCTTGTGGCCCTCGCCGGGCCTCTTGAAGCTATGTCGGACACTATCTTGAACTATCGTCGGCTATATTGAGCCATCTTGGAGGCCATCTTGGAACATCAGAGGCCCTCTTGGAGCCATCTTGTACGCTCTAACCCGTCCGCAGGGAGGAGGCCGAGGAGGTAAACCTCCCCGAAGGGAAGAGGTTTTCTGGAAGAGGCAAGACAGATATCGCTAGACCATCTGAGCCCAACGGGCTGATGGGACTTTCGATGCATGCCCTTCTGGGGGCGGGAATGTACGAATTTGACCCCGCGGCGACGGGAACCGAGGCGAGGAAACCAGCTGCGCAAGCGCAGCGGCCAGACAACACCGACGATACAGCTGTCATGCTTGCAAGCGAGTGCCACTCAGGCTTAGAATGATATTTGTAGGTGGGTGAAAAATACAACGCTGGTGAGGGAATGCTGTGCAGGCTTGGCAGAAGACGAGCCAACTATTCCAACATCAAATCGATTGCGCACGGGGAGCGAGAGCACACATTTGTATCAGGCGGGACGTTGCTGAACAAAGACGCAACTCACAGCGACCAGTTCTGGACCAGAGTCAAAACAATCTCGCATGTCGCAGGCGCTTGTTTGGCGCATCGCTCACTCTTGAATTGCCACGATCACGCCCTCGGCGCGTAGCCGGAGCGTGGTCATCGCTGGCTCTGGCTTCGCCAGTCCGCCCCCCGGACCCCTCCCTTACGCGCCTCCCTCCTCTCCTCCTCCCCCCTCGGGATCATTGTCCTGCTCGACATCCGACTGTGCGAGTAGAGAGGGGATCTACGCCATGGTAAGGGATGGGAGGGAGGGGTAGGATGTCAGATATGACGCGAGCGCACCTAGCTTGCCTCCTCCCCCCTCTCCTCCCCCCCCCTCCTCCTCCGTCCTCGGCTCCTCGGCTCATCTCCCGAGTCTCCGCCTCTGACCCCTCCCTTACCGCGAACGTCGCGTGCACGTCGCGTGGACCCTGCGAGGGGGCGTCGAGGTGCGCCGTGCGGTGCTGTGGCCCGCCTCGGCCGGCTCGCCCGATGCCGGCGTTTTGCGGCAGAGTTCCTCTGCTGTCGACTAGACGTAAGAGTGACCTTTCGCCGGAGTGAACTTTGGTGCGGGCCCAAAGGGGTCCTCCGATCGCCTAAAGCGATGCGATAGTAGCGTCTTGCGCGCTTGGGTGTGTCTCCCCCGCGGTGCCCCCAAAGCCGCGCACCAAAGGTCACTCTTACCTAGGGTCACTCTTGCGTGTAGTCGATGCTGGCGCGGTGCCGGCCGCGGCCCTGTTCCCGCCGGGCCAGCTTTGGCCACGCGCAGAGGGGGGTGGGGGGAGGGGGGGGGCCTCTTGGACGCACCCCTGCTGCTGAGAAGGAGCGGGCCTTCTCTACAGATGGAAGGCCAGCGCCTTCTAAGAAGCAGCCTTCTTCTAAGAAGCCCTCCCCCCTCCCCCCACCCCCTTGTGCGCGCCGCCCAGAACCAGGTCTCCCATCACGCAGGGGCACTTCAAAGCGTTTTCCCAATCAGGCTTTGCCAAACGGGTTCTTGCCTGTGTATGGAGGAACGTAGTGGGTCTGGGGTCTTTCGCCCCCGACGTCCCTCAGGATTCCTCGGCGTTGCTTGGTAATGCAACGCAATGCCAAGCAACGCGAAGCAATGCCAAGCAATGCCGAGCAATGCTAAGCGATGCCAACCAACACCAAGCAATGGACACTATTGTTCAGCAGCGCCCGGAACTGCCAAGCAATGCCTCTTGGAGGCGGCTTTGGGGTTGTTTTGGAGCCACTCAGGAGCCTCTTGGGTCTTGGGGCCTGGTTTGGGCCTCTTGGGTATCTCATGGGGCTTCCCGGGGCCTCTTCGGGAGCTGCTGGCGGTCTCGGGGGTCATTTTGGGGCGGAGGGCGCGAAATGTCATCTCGAGTTCCTCCTGTTGGGGTCCTCTTGGGGCTGCCTTGGGCCGTCTTGGGAGCTTCCTGGGCCGTCTTGGACCTCTCTTGGGCCGTCTTGGCACAGTCAGTAATGTCAGACTCTCGGAGCCCTCTTGGAGGGCCCGTCGGAGCCCTCTTGGAGGGCCTCTCGGAGCCCTCTTGGGGGCCATCTTGGGCGTCTTGGAGCGATCTTCGGGCGAGCCGCGGCCCTCTCGGACTGTCTCGGGGGCTTCTTGGAGCCCTCTCTGGCCCGCCTGGGGGGCTTTCTGCTTTTGGAGACCTCACGCGAAGACCCCCCCAAAAGCCCGCGGGAGCACCCAAGAGATCTGGAAATTGTGGCTGTGAGCCCCCAAGGGAAGACGTACACTAGTCAATACACGTGGGCGGACATATGTTTTTTTCCCCACCATGCCATGGCTGCTGCCCATGTGATGTCATCTCTCCCTGCCCGTTCTTCTCTCCTTCGCTTTTGCTGGCGCATGCCTAAGGGAAATGCGCAGTGCGCTAGTTGTTTGGGGTGGATCCGAATTTCCCAATGGCTGGTTCCAAATGTGGTACTGCGTAGTTAGATAGCGTTAGCAGTGTGTTAGAACATACGCAAGTCTCCCGCCGCTGGAGCAAAATGGCTGATACTTTGCCCCTTCCCCCGTACCTTTCCTCCCTTTTTGTGCCGCGCCTTAGCCTCTTGCGGCCTGTCCTTTCCAGTGCGCCCTTGGCTGTGAGTGCTGTCCGCACTTTCTTGCCCCCCCATCTGTGCTTGCAGTGCGTTTCCTCCTCCCCTCCCTCCTTCCTCCTGCCCTCCTCTCTCCTCCAAGTGGGGACGGAGTTGACTGAGTTGCCAGGAGGGACGCTGCTCCTGAGGGAAACGTGCCGTGGACCCCCCGCGGCTCCCCTCCGCTCGCTTCTTCCACCCCGGCCGCCCTCTCCGGGCCCCAGGGGCCCAGGCAGGGCCCCCCGGGGGCCGAGAGCGGCCGGCGGCCCCTGCAGCCTCAGGACCCCTCTGCCTCAGGACCCCGGGCCCCACTCGGGCCGGGCGAAAGGGGGGGATTGGGAAAGGGGGGGGGTACGAAATTTGCTGCATGCAGCTGGTTTCGGCCTCACCGAGGGGCCCGTTCCTCGATACATAGCCGCCTGCGGCGCCGGGAGGCGCCGGGAAAATCAGCTACGTGAGCTGATTCTCAAACCCCCCCTTTGCTATCCCCCCCTTTCGCCCGACCCGACCCACTGGCGGAGCAGGAGCAGGGCGTGAGGAGGGGGAAGCAGTGGAGCAGGGCTCCTTGCGATTCCTCCGATACGATATCCGTAGGATCTCGATGGCTTCCGATTCCGATTCGATCCGACTTCGGCTTCCGATGCGGCTCAACGAGGCCGTATCACTCTGCCGACTTCCGCCGACTCGACTTCCCGCGACTTGGCTGCCGATTTCCGCCGACCCGATTCCTTTCGATCGGATCGCCGATCCGACCTGTCGACTCGATCCTGGGCTCTCCCTGTGGAGGAGCTCCAGCTGCTCTTCCTGCACCTGCACCGGCGCGTGCCGGAGCTCTTCCGCTCCCGGGCGGAGGTCCGAGGCCCCTCGCCTCGCGTGCGCTCCTCCCTGGTGCCAGCTCTCCTCCCTCCTCCTCCTCCTCCTCCTCCTCCTCCTCCTCCTCCTCCTCCTCCTCCTTCTCCTCCTCCTCCTCCTCCTCCTCCTCTCATCTCCCTCCCTGGAGGAGGACGGGAAGAGAGAGGGAGGATCGAGAAGAGGGTGGGGGGGAGGTGGAGGAGGGAGAGGACGAGAAGGCGCAGGATGAGGCCCGAGGCGACCGCACCCTCTCGACGGGATGGGCCACTCGCGTGAAGTCGGGCTCCGAGTCCGCCTGCCTCGTCGGCCGGACGATGTTCGAGGAGCTGGTGACCTCGTGCCCCCACACAGTATCGGGATCCTCATCCTCGGCATGTTCCCCACCTTCCCTCCCTCCTTCCTCTTTTTTTCCCTCGTCTTCGCTCTCCACCTCGTCCTGGTCCTCGTCCTCATGCTTCTCATTCTCGTCCTCCTCCTCCTCCGCGTCTTCGTGGCGGGTTGCATGTTCTGCGTTCTTTAGTGAGGATACCTCGAACATTCTGGAAGAGATCGACCTCGCCTCGGACCCTGCGCAGCGGATTCTTGATTGCCAGGAAGTTATATTCGAAGCGTCTCGTCTTGTTAAGCATCGCCGTGAGGCTCGTGGTCCCCAAAGTGTAGACGAAAAGATCTCTTGGATGCTTGCTCTCACCCGCGCTGCTGGAGTTGGCGACGCGCACGCTGCTAGGCGAGCATGCTGCGCCTACCCGCGGCTTCGCCACTTTTTCGAGCGCCAGGCGATGCAATGGCATGACCAGCAGAGCGTTCAGGATTAATTTGTTTCTATGATGAACGTGCCTCTGCAGCGTGATGTTCAAAGAGCTAGTAGCCGATACAAGTATGAGGCCCGAGCGAAAGACCAAATAGTTGTTCGTCTTCGTGAGCTACCTGCAGCATGGGCACCATATGATGATCGTATGTACCTTCATAGCATTACTAACTCTGATGGGATCCCTTTCGCCTCGTCTGAAGAATCGGCTAAGGCCCTTGCGGCCGACTGGGTAGATATCGGCAGAAAACGCTTCGTGGACCTCAAGCACTTTAAGATCCTGGACCCGTTCATCCAAACTGCGTCCCCGAATTCAAACAGGTCAATATCAGAAGAGGTTTTTTTCTGATCTGGTTCGTCGCTGTCCTGAATCCGCACCCGGCCCTCATGGCTTTGTTTTCGGATCCTGGAGGGCAGGAGGTGCAGTACTTGCTTCTGCTTTTATTCGGTCTGCATCAGCACGTGATCGCTGGAGGCGAGGCCCACGCGCACCTTCAACGAATGATTTCTGCGGATTGCCAGAAAGGAGACGGCGACCCCGCCACCCGAGCCCAGTCACGGGACTCTGCCTCGACTCGGCCCAGTACCCTCAGTAGCACCGGCAATAAGGTCATTGTGGCATCCAGCAGGGGTTTGTGTCTGGCCGCCAAGGACTCGAGCACATCATAGATGTCGACTCCGCTTTGGCGATTATTCTCAAGGATGCTGAGTCCGAGCAAGAGTGCGGAGCGTGTTGCTTCGACATTGCAATTGCCTTCCCGAGGTTGCACGTGCAGTGGATCGAGCACGTACCCGAGAAGATGGATGCACCTTCCTGGTAGCGAAGTGTTATTGCTATGACATCCGACCATAACGTGGACATACATGTCAGCTTTCGGGGAACTAGTGGGCATTCCTACAAAGTCGACGGTGGTGTCAAACAGGGATGTCTTCTATCTGGTGCATTGTTTGCTGTATACTTCGGTCCAGCGCATCTATACCATCATATAGTTTTTAGGCTTCATGTACGATCTTGAATTCGCTCCCCACGGCTTCGCCGACGGGCTGGCCATCGTAGCAAAACACTTGTTCAGCTCCCTCCGCAAGGTGCTCCGTGGGCTTCTTGAGCAGGCTAAGAGCACCCAAACTCGAACATTTTCGGCTTTTGTGATCCAGCGATTAACCGTGCTAGCTTTCGAAGGGGTTCTCAGTATTCAGAAACTCAAAATGTCTGATCACGGCCAGCACTTCTGCATTATTCTTGGTGTGGGCTCTCGCGGTCTGTCTTGGAAAGGGACTGGCGACTCCGCGAATCCACGCAGGGGCGTACAACAGATATTGATTTTGAGTGTGCTCGTACGTTCAGATTTTGAAGGTTGAAGCCACATCGATGTCACGCTTGCCTTGTGGACCTAGCAACGCGCTCGCACTTGTTATGATGTATGACTTGCGTACGTTTGGTTTCGCCGCTGAAGTTCGCCGTCTTTAACTGTATTGCATGGCTGCCGACTATCGAGTTTGCTGTACGTGAGACGCCTATGATCGGAACCTTGGGAAGTGAGCAGATATTTTTGAAAAGGGGGATGGTTGGGTGGTTGCGTAACGGTGGCAGCCTCTGTTCAAGACTCGATTGTCGAGCATCTCGAGGTTGTGTGGGCGAGGTTCATTACGATTCCTGGCATCCCGTCTGACCCGCTGCTCGTGGGGCTCCAGGCGACAACGATGATTATGTATCAGAAGCGTTGTGCTCTGTCTTGCTGCCGTCGTTCGGTCTTCACCCAGACCCAGCACCACTATCCTGATTGATTTGAAGTGGTTGTCGATCGTCAGCTCACCCGAATGGTGCTCGTCGGACGTGGCCTTCCTCACTTCATCCTCACTTCGACCCTGAAAGCTGTCTTGAATTGTTAGAATACCACGTTTCGGTATTGAGCAGGATCTCAGAATTGCCGCTTTGGGTGATCAGCCATGGGTGGGGACGCTCTTCAGCACTACCCTTGCTGCCCTGCTTTTCAACCTGATGTGATGGCCCTCCTCCTTGACCCCCCCTCCAATTGGGCCGCTGGTGAGGTTAGCTTTTGGCTTCCTGGATTCATTCCTGACCTTCCTCGCTCGGCTGCACTAAGTATTTGTTTTGCTCTTGGTTTAATTGTGAATGCATCCAATCAGATTCATGTTGTGGTTTTCCTGATCGTGCTCGCGCCGGTCGTCTCATTAGAGGTCGTGTTTGCTCGATCGTTGCTGCCTCTGCCTGCTCCATAGCTACTACAAGGGGAGCCAGTCTGAGCTGAAGTTCAGCAAGACACCGCAGCAGCAGGGTTGGGAAGACAAGTCTGGGGAATGGATTGCGCGCTCCTCCGCGTCTTCGTGATCCCTCCTCCACCCCCGCTTTTTCATGCATGCCCCCCGTTTCCTCCCTGTCTCGTCCCCAGACGTGTCGGTAGGGCGGTCTGGGCGTTTCGCATAAGACTCACCATCTATGTCATGCTCCTGAAATTTGACAGTTGCAGAATTTTCACGGGTGGAGGGCGGGCTGTTTTCAACGTGTGGTTGTCCTTTTTAGCGCCGCGCACTTTCGTTTTCAAAGTTTGCGGCAGCTTCACGGGTGGCGGGTGGGCCGTTGTACTAATGACGTTTTCGTTGTAGCGCCGCGCGCATTCGTTTTTAAAAAGTTTGGTTCCGTTTTGCAGGGCGTCGTTTCCAACACGTCGTGATTGTTGCAGCGGCGCGCGCATTCGTAGTCACGTCTTGGCAGCAGCTTCAAGGATGGAGGGCGTTTTTTTGCAAAGCTGGGTTCTCGCTTCAGCGCCGCGCTTAAATATACACATATAAAAATAGAAACCTTTGCAGCAGTGTTGAAGGCTCGTAGGGTTGAAGTCCCAGATGTGGTGTCCTGGCACAGTTTAGGATTGACAGGACACCGCCGTTTAGTCGATTAGGGGTGTTGAGATGCCAGGAATGGTGTCCTGTTGCGGTTTCGATTTGTCAGGGCGCAGCAGTCATGCTGATTCGCGGGGTTGACGCCCAAGAACAGAGTTTTGGTACGATTCAGGATTCCCCGATTGTTGTCATCCGAAGGTTCGCTTCTCGCAATGAAGATATGTTCTTGTAGAGGCATTTGAAGAGGGAACTTGGAAGGAGGGTGTGTTGCACCATCGTTGATGCATCTTGGGTTTGCGTTCGTCCTCCTTCGCTGTCAATCCCCTCCATCTCCTCCTCCTCCTCCTCCTCCTCCTCCTCCTCTTCCTCCTCTTCCTTACCCCACTCCTCCCTCTCCTTCCACCCGCCTTATCCTGCATCTCCTCCCCCTCCCCGTCTTTTCCCTCGTTCCAACCCGCTCCTCCGCACATTCGCCTGCCGCCCCTCGTCGTTGTCGGCGTCGTCTTCCTCGTCCTCGCCGTCTGTTTGTCCTTGTCGTCGTCCTCCCCCCGCTTCCGCTCGAGGCGCCAATTGTTGTGGCTTCCGAGAAAAAGGCTGGCATATCCAGGGGCGCCACCCTCCACGGCTTCGGGCAGTTTCGCTAGGATTTTCTGCCGCAGGGGGGAGAAGGGAAGGCGGTCCCAGAATCCACGTCACCGACCATGGCGCGAAGACAGTCGCGATTCGCTCCTTGCGGCTTGGAACTTGGTGGTGCCCTTGTCCTGGGTGGCGTTGCCAGAGCACGAAGTGATCGAGGACGACGGCGGCGTATCACGGTCCACTCTCCGGTGGTTTGGCGGGGTTGCGCGCGGTGACGCGCCTCGTATTCCGATCAGCTCTGACCGGGACATTTGGAAGGCTTTTGGGGTGTTTCTAATGATCCTTATGGCTTATGTGAATCTCTGGGGCCGTCTTCCAGGCCCTCATGCGGACTTCTGGTGGGCTCCCGGGCGCCAGCCGTTTTGGTCGCGCAGATTCTGTTATTGCGAAGGCCTTACGGCCTGTGCCGCCGATCCTGACGTCGGGGAGGAGGGTGCGGAGCATGGGGAGGAAGATGATGAGGAGGACAGGAGGAAGGGGAGGATGAGCAGGAGAAAGAGCACAGGGGGGGGGGGAATGAATGGGAGGAGATGTACAGGCGGAGGGGGGGTGAGGTGGCACGAAAGAAGGGCAGGGGCGAGTGGAGACGTGGCGATCATGAGGAGGAGGAGGAGGAGGAGGAGGAGGAGGAGGAGGAGGAGGACGAGGAGGAGGAGGAAACCAATGGCGAGGATGTTGACGATGTTGACGACGACGCTGATTGCCTATCAGGACCTTTCGGGATCGTCTTGGAGCCCTCCTGGGGCGTCTTCCAGGCTTCGTTCGCTGTTTTGAAGCTATGTTCGGCATCTTGGGCATGTGGGAGGCCACGGAGTGTAGATTTGGAGGCTCCGGGGGCCCCTGGAAGGGCATTCGCAAGCTCGTATTCCCCCCGCAGAAGGAAAAGAGGAGGGGGACAGCCAAATATCTCACGCGCCGTTTCATCCTCGGCAAGCGGGGCGCGGCGAATTTCCATAGGAGCGGCCCCCCGATGTTGTTCTGGAATTTTGTGGAGCCGCGGGGTTCCCGAGAGAGGCGTCGTATCTGACCCGGGATTTCCCCGGGACTTCCCTGGGACTTCCCCGGCCCCCCCCCCTCGGCGGGGAAGGGATGAAAGGGAAGTGGTTGCCCCGACGTCTTTCTGGCAAGTTGTGGAGCCGCGGGGCTCCTTGGGAGAGGCGTCGTATCTGACCAGGGACTGCCCCAGGACATCCCCGGGACTCAACCCCCCTCCGGCGGGGAAGGGGTGAAAGGGCAGGGGCCTCCCTCAACATCTTTATGGAATTTTGTGGGGCCGCGGGATCCCCGAGAAAGCTTCGCATCTGACCCGGCATTTCCCCGGGACTCCCCCGGGATTTCCCCGGCCCCCCCCCCCCCCTCGACGTCTTTTCTGGAATTTTGTGGAGCCGCGGGACTTCTGGGAGAGGCGTCGTATCTGACCCGGGACTTCCCAGGGACTTCCCCTGGACCCCCCTCCCCGGGCTGGGAAGGGATGAAAGGTAAGGGGCGCCCTTGCGATCGGGCCTGGGGACGAGGGGCGAGCGTCGACGACGACAAGCCGGAGGCACATATGACAACTCGGAGAGAACCGAGGAAAACCGAAAAGCCTCTTCCACACGCCGACACAGGGTCGGTCGTCTTCTTGTCCGGGCCCTCATCCGGGCTTCTGGTGGTCTCCCGGGCGCCAGCCGTATTGGTCGCGCAGGTAATTTTTGTTCCAAGAGGGTCGCTCGAACAGTCTTTGGGTAGTCTGGGCGAGTCTTGGGGCGGTCTGGGGGCCATCTTGGGGCGTCATTGGGTAGTCTTGGGGAAATCTTGGGGCCGTCTCGGGGCCATTTGCAAGCGTCTCTGGGGCTTCGCAGGGCTCAGGGGCGCCTTCCCGAGAGCACCTGACGCCGAAAAACATTCGAAGCAAAGGTCGTCTGCACACCTTTGTTCCCAACCATCCTGTGGTGTTGGGTCCTCGTTTTGAAGAGACAGCGCCCCGCGTTCCTTCCTCCTCCCGCTGCCCCCTCCCTCCTCCTCGCATCATCGTCATCATCGTCATCATCATCATCATCATCATCATCATCATCATCATCATCATCATCATCATCATCACCATCACCCTCACGAGGACCGTGGCCCCATAGGAGCTCCACCGAAGGCGCCAGTAGCAAAGTGCGCATGGCGGCCTCGGGCCTCGGGCCATTTCGGCACACCCCTCACGAGAATCGTGGCCCCATAGGAGCTCCACCGAGGGCGCCAGTAGCAACGTGCGCATGGCGGCCTCGGGCCATTTCGGCACACCCCTCACGAGGATCGTGGCCCCATAGTGAGCTCCACCGAAGGCGCCCAGTGGCAGGGTTCCCATGGCGGGCCCTGGCCATTTCGGCACACCCCTCACAAGGATCGTGGTCCCATAGGAGCTCCACCGAAGGCGCCAGTAGCAAAGTGCGCACCATTTCGGCACACCCCTCACGAGGATCGTGGCCCCATAGGAGCTCCACCGAAGGCGCCAGTAGCAAAGTGCGCATGGCGGCCTCGGGCCATTTCGGCACACCCCTCACGAGGATCGTGGCCTCATAGGAGCTCCACCGAAGGCGCCAGTAGCAAAGTGCGCATGGCGGCCTCGGGCCATTTCGGCACACCCCTCACGAGGATCGTGGCCCCATCGGAGCTCCACCGAAGGCGCCAGTAGCAAAGTGCGCACGGCGGCCTCGGGCCATTTCGGCACACCCCTCACGAGGATCGTGGCCCCATAGGAAGTCGCCAGTAGCAAAGTGCGCATGGCGGCCTCGGGCCATTTCGGCACACCCCTTACGAGGATCGTGGCCCCATAGGGAGCTCCACCGAAGGTCCCAGTTGCAGGGTTCCCATGGCGGCCTCGGGCCATTTCGGCACACCCTTGACGAGGATCGTGGCCCCATAGGGAGCTCCACCGAAGGCGCCAGCGGCAGGGTTCGCATGGCGGCCTCGGGCCATTTCGGCACACCCCTCACGAGGATCGTGGCCACATAGGGAGCTTCACCGAAGGCGCCAGTGGCAAAGTGCGCATGGCGGCCTCGGGCCATTTCGGCACACCCCTTACGAGGATCGTGGCCCCATAGGGAGCTCCACCGAAGGCCGCCAGTGGCAGGGTTCGCACGGCGGCCTCGGGCCATTTCGGCACACCCTCACGAGGATCGTGGCCCCATAGGGAGCTCCACCGAAGGCGCCCAGTGGCAGGGTTCCCATGGCGGGCCTTGGCCATTTCGGCACACCCCTCACGAGGATCGTGGCCCCATAGTTGTGCTGCTTCAACAACAGCGCCTGGGCGTCGTACTCCGTCTTCTCGACGTGCACCGACACCTCCTCCCTCATGGCTCTCAAAGCCCTCTCCTGCTTCTGCTCCTCGGTCAGAGGGACGCCGTCTTTGTCGTCGTCGGCGCCCGCGAAAACGGCCACGACCGTGTTCCTGAGGATGTCGGGCTCCGGCGGGAAGCCGTGGCCATATAGGGATCGCGGGCGAAGATGGTATTCACAATTGCGGTACTCACAACTGCATATGGTTGGGTCCTTCGCCAGGCTATTTTTTATTATCTTCTCTCGTCTGGGTTGTCGCAGGGTCGTTTCGGGCTGGGTCTGGGGCAGTTTGGCGCCGTCCTGGGTCGGTCTGCGGGCCGTTTGGGGGGGCCGTGCAAGCGCGCGGATGCGCCGCAGGCGCGGGGGCGCCGCGGGGGAGTACCGCCGGGAGGGCAGCGCCTAAGGGAGAACCCTCTGGAAGTTTTGGACCAGGTAGCGAATCGAACAGGGCAGGGATCGAACAGGGCAGGGCTGCTCAGTAAACGCCAGGGGCTGCGTAGTAAACGCCAGTCATGGGGGTCGGTGTAGTTTTCCCCCTCTCGATTGCCCGTCCGCAGCAGGTCGCTGTCGATGGAGTTGTTGAGCTCCTTTGAGGGGCAACGATAGGGGGTGACTGGCTCAGGGAGGGGAACATCGACCTGGAATCGGCAATGCGTTGCCGATAGATCGGCGATAGGCCTCCGATAGCGAACCCGAACGTTCCTGGGCGGTCGGTGCTCATCACACGTCACACGCATGGACGAAGTGATCTCGCACGGCCCACGCCGCAGGCGGGAGCGTCTGGATCTGAAGGGCTGCGCCGCGTGCCGCGGGCTGCACCTATTCAGCCGTCTGGTGGCCGCATTTGGAACAGTTTCGGGGCCATCTCTGGGCCTCGCGGGGGCATCTTGGCCTTTGGGGCCACTTTCGCGCCATGTTGGGCAATCTTGGGGCTATCGTGTGGTTTTTTGGGGCCCATCTTGACGTCATTGTGGGGCCATCTTGGTACATGTTTGGGCCATTCTTGGCGATGCGGGTGCGGTATCTTGGGGCCTTCTGGGGCCACCTTGGGCAATCTCGGGAGCGATACATTGAACACAGTATTCTTTTCCTATGGCTTTGGCCCTTCAGGGGGCGTCTTGGGGCCCTCCTGGGCCACCTTAGAGGCATCTTGGGGCCACTTGGGGCGATCTGCTGACGTCTTGGATTCTTGCTGGAGGTTGATCGACCTCCTACCCTGACACGTCGATTAGCGAATTGGCCGTTTTCGGTTCGCGAGAGGGCGTCGCGGCCGTCATTTTTGCGGGTCCAGGTCCGTCGGTTTCGGTCCTAGGCCGTTTTCACGAAATGGTGTTTACTAAAGGGAGGTTTGTCCACCGCCGATCTTGAGGCCCTCTTCAGGACCACTTCGATGCCTGCACGGCCCTCCTGACCCTCCTGGCCATGTGGTGGCGTCCCTGCGGGAGGTCTGGGGCAGCCCAGCGAGGCCAGGAGGCTGATGCACCCCCCTCCACCCATATTTTTTTGTAAAACAAAAGGCAAACAGGCCGGAAGCCATAGTAGACAGTAAAATGAAGGCAGGACTGGAGGGACAAGAGATAGTAGTGAACGGCAACACATTTAGAAAGACCGCAGTCCAGCAGGAGCCTTCGCAGCCTTGCACCCACAAGGGGGTCGGCGGATACGTGACCGAAGAGGGACATAAACACAGATGAAGGAATTGAGAAGGGGCTCCCAGACTCAGGCAGCCTCATCAGAACACGAATCGCTCGTTCCGGAGGTTCTCAGAGCGTGCCAGGGTATCCGGGTTCCCTGGAACGGCCGCGGCACACCTGGCGCATTCTTTGGATTTAGCTCTCAGAGATCTCTCGTTGATTCGTAGCCGATCTGTTCGTATCCTGCCCTGTGCAGAGCAAAGAAGGCTTCCAGATTCCACGGTGTCGCTGGTGCATCGTCGAAGCACCAGCGATGAAGTTCCGTCTGGGAAGTCCATACGGGACGGGAACTAAGTCCAGCCCCAGTTGGGAACCCTCCAGGTGAGCGAGCTGGCGCGGTCACCCCCTCTTGTCTACATGTTCCCCAGCCCACTGAAGATGGTGGTTCACATGCTGAAGAGCGTGGCGGCGCACTACGCGCTGGACGAGCCTCCTCGACAAGCAGCGACGTGACTTCGAAAAGGGGAGCGCGCGCGCGCGTGTTCGCCCCCTGCAGCCAACTTGTGACTCTCTCTTGCTCTCTCTTTCTCTGTGTCTCTGCTTGTCCGTCATCGCTCATTTGTCTATCATCTTCTTCTCCTGCGAGCCACTCCTCGTCTTTCCTTTTTGGCATTCTCAACAGGGCGTGGTGCCAGAGACAGTGTGTCCGCAGTCTTCCTAAATTGGTGAAAACTGAGAGTGAACGGTTCTTCGAGCTTCCGGAGGATTTCAGAGGGCTCGCAAGGGTGCTTGAAAGTTTTGTTTTCGAGCGGGGTGATGAGGAGGAAGAGGAGGAGGACCATAATGATGATAATGCCGAATACCTCGAGGATGCAGATGCGGAGCAGGATTCGGAGGTGGAAGCGAACCGAGAGGTGGATCATCAGGATGATGAGGACGAGGAGCTGGATCATGAACGGGATCAGGAAAGACTCGAAGATGAGCATGATGATCCTGATAAGGACGAAGGAGAGGATGAGGAGAGGGAGGTGGGTAATGATCAATATATCGTGGTGGCGTTGAGCCAGTGCCGCCGATCCGGGGCGCTTCCGTTGCTGCTGGAAGCGCACGATGGCGGTCATGACCGGCGACGACGGCGATCGGTGAGGATGGCGATGAGGTTTGGGAATGGAGGCAACGGAGTAGGATGAGGAGGAGGAGGAGGATCATGATGAGGTGGAGGGGGGTGGGGAGGGAGGGGCAGGAGTAACAATATGCTGACGATGAGGAGGAGCAGGAAGAAGCGGGAAGTGGAATAGGGGGAGGGGGAGAAGGAGGAGCATGACGAGGATGAGAAGATTTTCGGTGGTTGTTGGAGATGTTCGGCGGTTGTTGGAAAGCCTCTTTGGGCCAGGTGTTCGTCCTCTTTGGGTTGACACCTCGCCGATTTGGCGCACTCTCTTGAGAGCTTTGTGCTAGAGCTGTCTGCGCCGCAGTTTTTTGTAGAGTTTCGTGTATCACCGGTCTCTGCTGAGAATCATAAGAGTTTGGAGGGTCTCTGGGGCCTTCGCGCGGTCCTCTGCGGGTCCTCGTGAGATCATGGATGTGAAGGGCACCGAAGACGGGAAAATATATGAAAGCGTGGGAGAACCTTTGGTGTTGCAGCGCTTGTGTTCAGACGTAAGCGTTGCGGAAGCATCGGGGCCTGTTTTGTGCTTCTCGGGAGGAGTTTTGGAGGCAGCTTGGAGGCCTCTAGAAGGAGTCTTGAATGCATTTTTTGAAACTCTTGGGGGCCTTTTATGGGGGCTTCACATGGGCCTCTTCGGGGCCAGTTGGAAGCGTCTCGGGGCCTCTTCAGGCTTCTTAGGGGCCTTTGGGGGCCTGCCGGGGGCTTCTTGGGCCGCCTTCGGCACACACTTATTGCTTCTTTGGGTCTTCCCGGGGATGTTTTTTTTTTTTTTTTTTTTTTTTTTTTTTTTTTTGTTTTTTTTTGTTTTTTTCAAGGCTCCTTAGGGCACCTTGGGGGCTTGTGGAGCTGTCTTCGAGACATCTTGGGCGTCTTGTAGCGATCGCTCGGCGACTCGGGGCCCTCTTGGCCCATGCTAGGGCCCTCCTGGGCGAGGGGGCCGTCCCGGAGTGAGCTGGAGCTCCGATTCCGCCCCGGGAATTAAACCGACCCCCCCCCCTTCCCCCTACCACAGCAGAGCCACCCTGGCACCCACCCCCCAGTGGAGCGGAAGTTCAGGAATTGAGGCTCAGGCTGTTGTGAGGTTTTTGAAACGCACAAACCGGATCGGCGTATTTGGGTCGTCGAAGGGGGGGGAGTTGGCGCCCAGAAGGGGATAGTTTTGAGAAGGCAAATCAAATCAAGAAAGCGTGCGCCTCAGAACGGCGCGTCGACCAGCTCGTATACACACATCACATGCGGTATTCATAAACGAGTGTTCGAAGAGGCGCAGCGACATGAATGCCACACCACACGCTCTGGAGGTGGCGTGGCATTCACATTGAGATTATCGAGAGGGGGGATGGCGAGGAGGAGGAGGAGGAGGAGGAGGAGGAGGAGGAGGAGGAGGAGGAGGAGGGGGATAGGAGACAAGAGCGAGGACAACAAGCGCGATGCAGATATGTTTCTCACCACGAGCGCTGCTGGATGGCGATGAGATGCGATGGGCTTGTCAATTCACCCATCACACATCGACTGTTGCACCCAACCGCACGTAAGCATAAACAGCCTATGCAATCAAATGCTTCGGCAAACTCATGCTCAGAGCGTGTACCTCACAATGCGGAACATTTGTCCTGGCTGTGCGCGCCCGCGCACAGTGGTCCAACGTTGATCTGATGATGAGGCGCAGCCCAATACTTCAAGCCGAATGCCTGCAAGACAGTTTTCGCAACCTCGCAAAAGTACCTGTGCAACCGATGTCAGGCAAGTTCTCAGAGGTTGTCGCGCGTGCTCAGGCCGAGTCCTTGTGCGAAGATACCACTGTGACCTAAGGATGATGGGACCACCAGTTTTGCCCATATAGCTTCGTGCCTTCCAAGATACGCCGGGAACTATCTACCAACGGATTGCTGTATTCCCGAACCCGTAGACGTCATTGTAATATTGACCGCCCAATGGGTTTACCTCAAAGTTTAGCAATATGCTCCCATGCCCAGCAACTCGCAGTTTCGAGACGAGAAAAGTTAATAGGAGGAGGGCAGGGATGAGGAGGTGCAGGAGGAGGTTTCGTTGGAAGGCTTCGAGGGGGGGGGGAGGGGGATGGATGTGGATGCTGAGGAGGCGTATTTGGTGCGTTTCGCGGATGAGCATGGAGGACGGAGGAGGATGGGAGAGGCTGGAGGAGGGTAGAGACGGATGAAGAAGACTATGAGGAGTCGCGTGTGATAGTGAGCGTTGGTGCATGAGGTTGTAGGAGGATTGGGGATGTATGGGGGTGTAGGAGGAGTGTGGGTCATTTTGGGCGTCGCCTGACTTTGACGTTCGCCACATAGGCTGACTGGATTGGATTGGGCTGGCCGCACCTGTTAGGAAGCCACTTCATTATCGGTCGCTGGGTGCGCAACGTAGGGCGGGACCAAAAACAGGCAGTTCTATTCAACAGATTCGTGCATTCTGCCGGCACAACGTGTATTACCGTTTCCATTTGCCCTTACGCTCGTGGCGCTTGCGAATTTGTTGGGTGGCGATGGTTTCGCCAAGCAGTCTGGTGGAGCTCGTGTGTGGAAGAAGCAGTTGCTGGGTAGATTAAGGGCAACACTCAACGGAACACGCCCCCACCCAAGTTCCACCATCGATGCCCGAAAGAACGAGAAGGCAATCATCAGGAAAGCCATCAAGACGTGGAGGTGTCGTGACGGTTCACCGTGACGGTGAGGATGTTGACAGTGATGTTGAGGTGGGTGTCACCTGAGCTCCCAGGCCCTCCCCCCGGCCTGCCCAGCCGGGTCTGTGCCGCCAGCCGAATACTACCAACCCGTCCGGGGTTGCGTTGCTATTCTACTTCAGCTGGCTCGACGACGTTAGCCTATTAACGCGCCCCTCTTCAGTTCATGTGGTCGACCAGGCCCTGGCCGAGTATTGAAAGGACTGCTGGTTCCACGTTATGTTAAAATCGCTGGACGTCGACGCGCTTTCGGGACTGCGGTACTCCGTCTCAAGTGTCAAACCTGACGTGCCAGACACTTGAAGTTTCCTGGGCACCTTGGTCGAATATCGAGATGTTGCAGCCAGGGCGAGGCCCCCTCCTGCCTGAGTCGGCCCTTGGCCATTGCTTTTTGTTCGCCCTAGCTGACGGCACCCTTGGCTGCAGCTGGCCTGGTGGGCTTCAACGGCTTCTGTAGGCCCATCGCGCTCATGACCACCTCTGGGCAGTGCACGGTTGATCTCAAGAAGCTCAAATGCCACAGCAACCTCGGCATCATCTCATCACGTCGACGACGAGGTCGGGCATCGCAGGGCACGTCATCATCAATGAGCTTGATGCCATCATTCTGTTAGTCCGAGCCTTCACAGGCCGATCAAGAGTCATTCAGTTGCAGACCAGAGGCGTGGTTGTCTTCAGGAAGTCGCTCCGCGAGCCGATCCTGACTGTTGCGGGGAGTCCTCAGTGTTTGTAGCCGTGCAGCTTGTACCGGGAGGGGGCTACCCATCACGCGCCTGAGCCCGCTTCAAAAGAAGCGACCTGGCCGGTGAGGAGGAGTGAAGGAGGAGGAGGAGGAGGAGGGGGAGGAGGAGGAGGAGGAGGAGGAGGAGGAGGAGGAGGAGGAGGCAGCGCTATCTATGAGCGCAACCCATGGTGCGCCACGTGGGTGACGAGCACCCCTGGCTGTCCTTGTCACGGGGCTGCGCCCGAGGGCCTCGGCGACGAGCTGCCTTGTGATTGAAGGGCATCCTTGGTAAGGGCCGAGGAGGGATCAGAGGAGGGATAGGTACCCCATACCTCTACCCTTTCCTCGTTTTCTCCTTTTAGGGCCTCCTGGGAGGCTCTCGTCGCCACCGCTGGATTCGCCTCGAAATTCTGGTCAGAACGCACCCCGGGAGAGGTCCGAGGAGTAGCGGTATCGGTACCTTTTGGTTTCCCCAGGGGATGGAGAAGGATGGAGGATGGACGAGAAAATGGGTGAGGGCGAGGAGCAGGATAGGGACAAGGGGGCAGGAGATACTACGCCCCCGACGCTTCTGGGCGAAAGGCAGCGATCGCAGAGGAGAGACGGAGAAGGAGGGAGAATGAGAGGGGTGATGGGGATGATGGCGGGAGCATGCCGTCCGCTTCTTGGTTCGGACCTCGGGTGCCCTACGGGTGGCCCTGACGCAGCGGGTCAGTTCAGTACTTGCCTGAGGCCTCCCCGGGCCGGGATCCAAGACCCCCTGGTTCCATGTTCCTTCCCGCCTTCCGGACATTTCCGGCCACTCCTGGCAAATTGCCAGAAACCTTGGAAGAGCTTCAGGAATCATCGGAAAGCTAAACTAGGGGGCCACATGCGAACCCTACCCCTGCCCCCCCACGATTTCTGAGGGGGAGGGT